GAGAAGACAACAGAAGATAATTTCTCAAGCATTTTACGCAAAAGTATCCTCCCTGTCAGCCATAGCAATGCCCAACGGATCGTCAAATGCCTGAATTACACAATATGATGTAATATAGACTGACATTATGGCCGCTCTGAATCTAAACTGGATAAGTTGAAATTTCACCTTAAAGTTATGGAAATGCACTGGACGATGATCCTCGTGATAATATTCTTTTGGATTGGCCAAGCATACATCGTACTTCATGGACTGGGACCAGCGTTGACCTGTAAGCAAATAATGATGAAGTGCTTGAGTCTCACTTTCAAAGGAAATGAACGTGATCGCTACTATCGTTGATATCAGAGAGTTAATACTTGTGATTATAAGATTATGAGGAAAAGGATGAAAAGGAAAAGCAACTGTTTACCTTGGAAGTTGAAGTTCCATACTCCAGAGCTGGGTACCATAAAGTAACCAAGGAATCTGTCGGACAGCAGCATTTGCACCTTCTCGTAATGAGTTGGCATGTATCCCTAAAATGGAAACTTTTTCTGCGCGATACCACTTGCTCATTATAGCCTTTTTGACATAGTTCATTGTTTGTAAAAATGAAAGCATCAAATAGTTAGAAAAAAAACATTCAAGGAAAAGAAAAACCAGTTTAGCGCGGCAATGCCCTCTTCTCTTCCAAACTCACCTTTGGATTATTGCCACGATCCGTATTCGACTTGCCCCACTCGTATCCTGACGGAGTGAGCTTGTAGGCAGTCAATGAAACGGAGCCAGGAGTGAAACTAAATTCAGAAGCTGAATATGACTATACTATATCAAACTAAACCCGCGGGTACAAACGGTTCAGCTATGACTGAGCTAGTAAAAGGTAACATTTGCAAGCTATTTCACTATTCTGTAAACAATACCTGCAAGTGATTATCACTGTCTTTTCTCCGTCCCAGCTAGCATTTTCGGATAGGATCTTAGCATGAGCTGTAACATCCTGAGGAGACAGTTGTGGTAACTCATTTGGTTGCGTATGCATCCTGAAAGATAATTTAGAAACTTGAGCATCAAAAAACTTTTAAGGAAGTTATGAAAACGAAAACGCAAAACTAGAAAGAAATCCACTCACCATCCAAGTGGCTCAAGATCCTTCAACAATTCATGTTGCGGTAAATGCGTTGGGAACTGAACTTGTTGATGATTTCCCGTCTGTGGGACCAAAACCACGCAACGAATTTCTTTTACTTGCGGATTATCTGCTGGCGAGATCCCATACATGAATCCACCGATCTG